CACACACACGCACACACACCTCCTCACTCCCAAGAGAGGAAGGATGACAGCTACATAGTGGGTGTGAACAGGTTCAATAGAAAACAGCAAAGAACAAAGAAAAGACAGGAGTAAGACGTATTAAAGTGCAGATTTCTGTTCAAAAACACGAAGCCACTAGAAGATAGAAGGATTTCCTCTCATGCCTCGATCTGCACATAACCAAGTCATTACCGGACAAATAGAGAGGGAGGAATGAAGGGAAGAAAAACATTCCATTTAGATGCAAATGCTCCTCATTTTCCTCCCCATCCACCTCTCTCCTGCTCGTCCCGGTCCAGCACAGAGCAGGCGGGTACGGGAGGGGGATTAAGCAGAGGACAGATGAGTTCCGACAGGCGGCCTCGCGCCCCGAGCTTCGCGGTGGGATGAGGTTGTTTGTTTTCAGCACCGGACACTGACACTGACATTCATTTACCCACGAAGCCCGGCTGCGGCACTCTGACAGGCTGATGGCAAGCCAATTACCATTGAGCTTCATGACAACAAAAGCCACCAAAATAAGGCAAAAAAAAAAAGCTGAATTTTTGCTGCAGGATGTCACACAACAGGGTCACATGGTTAATGGGCAACGACAGAGGAGAGTGTTAGCAAGCCTGCAGCCGGGGGCAAAAAGCTAGAACCTGTGGAGATACTGAGGAGAAAGTTTGGGAGAGAGGTGATAAAAGGACACTTGAAACTGCAGCGGAGCAATTAAAATGCAGGAAAATGGAAGAAATCTAAATCATCAGAGATCATTGTTTTCTACAGTTCACATCAATTGTCATCTCGAGATAACTTTGTCTCCTTTTCTGGAATAAAAGTGCAATTTTCTCGTGATAACAGGGTCATTTTCGTAAAAAACAAGTGGTTGTTTTCTCCACACAGATATTGGGGTAAAGTAAAAGTATCCACTGTTGTTCTTTGCTTCTGCAGTTTTTTGGTAGAATTAATTAATTTCTCTGGTGCAAATTTTTATTTTTTATTCAACCTTCAAACTACAGAAGCCAAGAATTTATTTATTACCAAGAAATATTTATTTATATCTCAAGTTCATTAAATAACAGGTATTTACACCTGAAATCCATTTGGTTATTATATATTAAGGTGTTTTTAATTGATTATCTGCACGGTTTAAAGGGTAAAACCACCCTCAGTTACTAAATTGTTACATGTACCCCTTCATTTGTACCTAAAAGGACCTTCATTTTTTAGTTCAAGTGCACATTCAGAGGTTCCCCCCCAAACATGGGGATAATTAATGGATCAATTAATAGAGATTGTAACATGTCATGGTATGTTTGTATGCAGGGTTTTATGGGTTTTAAAGGGTCACAACCACTTAAAGGACTAAAAACTCCATACAATTGACCAAAGAACGTCTCTGAATTGTCACTTAATTGAAAAATGAAGGGCTGTATAAATTAAGGGATGGTTGTTTTAGTCAATTCTAAGGAGTTTTGAACCCCTTAAACCATGCAGTTAATCAATCAAAACAATACAAAGTGAGCATACAATCCATTAAAAACACCTTCATATTGCTCCATTCATTATATATTTAAAAGTTAAATTGAGGGGTTTGGGTTTAAAATGTGAGGTTTAGGTGCCTGAATTAGCAGAGAAACATCACAGAAGCCTTAAAAGACCAGAAAGCATCGCAGCAATAAAACATTTTGAGCATATTCAAATAAGTTTGCTAGCTAAAAGCAACCACCTTCAACTACTTCAAAAAAGAAGAAGAGCAGTAACAAAACATTAAACTGAAGCGATCACACATTTGGCTCGTAGACATGGAGGCCGTCCCATTACTGCAAAACACTGATTTACTTCTCCCACATTCACGATAAACTGTCTCGGGCAAGTGTTCCCACTGAAAGACATCAACAAATTTGGCAGATTTTCACTCACAATCCATTTACAGCAGCTTTACAAATGTTCATAAAAATGTTTATTTTTTTTTTTAAACAAATGCTAATGCTGTGAAACTGTAACATGTCTTACATTGCAATGTCACGTCTTCATCATAAAGCTGTCCAACGAAAAACCAAACCATGACAGAGGACTGTAACCTGGCAACAGCGTGACAGATGGTGGTGATGTGGAGGGAGAGGGGGGGGGTAAAGGCTGGTCATGTGAACTGGAATGGCATACATAAACACATACATACACACATACACACATGCTTGTTTACATAAATAGATACAGTGTAAAAACAGGAGGCACAGTCACATTGGGATCATACAGAGTTCGTCTGTCAGTAGGTACAAAATATGACCGGTGTTTCTTTAAAAAAAAAGGTATTTGCCATTATTGCATCACGCAGGAAACAGCAAAAAAGTGTTGTTTTTTTAGTTCTTTGCAGGTGATTTTAACAAGTTACAAGTTTACAGTCAAACAGTGTCTTTATGGTTTATATGAAAACATGTCACTGCAGCCCTCAGCTGAACAAACTGTTAATATTAGGTTCACCAGCCAGGGGGCAGCAGGGGACAACCATGCTCACACCCACAGAAGATGATATTACAATGACACATTTTCCTTCTTGAGTGAGTTAGAAATGAGCTCAGTGAGATTCTCCTTCACTACTTGGGTGAATCAACCTGGATCGGTTGTGACGGGGACAGAGTAGTCAAAATGTGAGCGCTGATCTAAAAGTGTCATTTTAGTGCCATTAGCTTAATCTAACTGTAGTTTTCTGGCTTCACAGGACGAGGCTGATTCCTCAGGTGAAAAGACATAATTAGAAGAATCCCTTCTGAGCCTTCCAGTGAAGTGGCTGACCTCGAGGGATTCACTGTGAGCGTGTTTGTCAGACAACAGAGGTGAGACAAGGTAGTAAAAGGAAAACCAGACGGTCCAGTTGGGAACGAGGTTCCGCCCTGCTGCAGCTCTCACTGCTGATACACACTCACATTATCATCCATTATGATGCAAGCAAACCCTGTGAGGCCTGAAATCACACTTTAAATGCTGTAAATTCTCAAATAGCGGCCTTTATTTACAGATATGGAGAACCGTTTGTCCACAGCACACATTTTATCAGCACAGTCGCCTTTCTCCCACAACGATGTCAAGCTGCTATGAATGAAACCTCCAGAATTTTCACATTAAAAGTCTTTTTCCGCCTGGTAGCAGCTACAGTTAATATCACATAACCAAATATAAAATTTGGATTTTCAACCGAGGACTTTGTTGCAGCTTTCTCTTTATCGGCAGGCTTTTAACGTGAAAAACAGGAGGTTTTGTAGGTTAACATCAAAGAGAGAGAATTCATTTGAGTATGAAAACTTTATTTTTTGTTAAAAGTTGCAACAGAGCAGCAGAGCAGTGAATGCACCATGACTCTGTGTTTGTTATGAAAAAATAAGTGGTGTGGAAATGAACATTAAACTGAACTTAAACAGCGAGTAATTCCACCCTCCTCTGGGTTTGTTTTCTTCTTACCTGGCCTCTATTTGTCCATGCTAGCCAGGCTTATTTGAATATCAGCTTTTATATGAGAATTTACAGCATTTATGTAACCCACAGAAGAGGATTCTGGTTTTAAAGTAATCAGTAGTACTTTTTATTTTCTGACATTGCGGCACCGTCTTTCCTCCTCGCTGCCTTCCCTTTCCATCAGGCAGATGCAGCGGACATGAAAGCCCTGAGAAGGTTACTGAACCGATGAGGCAGGGCAAATGTTTTTGGGCATGTATCCACCTCTGAGCGTCTCTTATGATCCGGTTCATTCGGAGTTTAACATGGCATGTGTGTGTTGTTCCCAACTGGAGTGGAAATATTTCTGATTTTGCTCCATTGCACCTGGAGAAGAACTGTGCACCAAAACAGCTCCAAGCGTCCCACTTTGGCTGTGAGGATTAGCACTCGCGGGTGCTCCTGAACGCCTCAGGATGCAGGCGGGCTGGACCTCTCAAACCGTCCGGAGCTCTACAGACATCCTGAAGTAGTGATGAAGAAAACAGTCTGACATCCTTTCAGGCTGAGATCATATGTCCCATCCTTTTTAGGCATATTCTTTTAATTTATAAACATGTATAAATGTGCATTTAATGCAAAATCTGATTGATTTAGTTTCTTCTTTTTTTTGTCAAATGCATTTAATTTGGTTTTCGAGACAAAGAAATCCATTTAATTCTCAATCTGTTGACATCCAAATACTTGCTAGACAGACAGGCAGGATGTCTGTCATTTGTTTCCATCCAAGTCACACCATCGCCGTCCTTAGTGGTTTGTCTGTCTGTCTGTCTGTCTGTCTGTCTGTCTGTCTGTCCCATGGTAATAAAGGAGTGACTGAGACAACAAAGTCTCTGTGGGGATGGCAGAAACTTCAAATGTTCCCGTCTCGTTTGGCTCCAGCATCTCCAACAGAAAAGGAACGAGTGATTGTGTTGACACAGAATGACACACGTGCATACACACACACACCCAAACACACACATACACACACACACACACACTCACACATACTGTATGTGCACACAACCGTGTCCGAGGCGTCCGAGTCAAACGGCCGTGAGCGTAATCCTGCCTCTGTTCTTTTCTTTTGTTTTCATCCAAATCAAACATAGAAAGATCAATATATTCAAACGTGTGTAATATATAGGTTCATATATAATATATAAAAATTTTCAAAATAAAAACTGCAAACCCAAAATGAAAACATTTGAGAGCAACAAAACAGGGTGAGGAATAAAAAAAAAAAAGTTTGGAGTCCTAGACGGAGGTTTCGGACTGTAGCCGCAGGACAAACTTGTGTGACTTGGGGTCGATGTATTCCTCTGACATCTGGATGTACGGGATCTTCTTTGACGTCACCACCAGGCTGAAGTCCACACACTTGAGCAGGAAGACGGTGCCGTCCTTCAGGCCGCTGGTGACCGACGCTTCGCTGCTCAGCGTCCACTGACGGGCCAGCCAGTGGTCCCGGCTGTACTGCAGGGTGGGACCCGGGGTCAGGTAGCTATCCAGGAACGCCTGGGCGGGAGGAATATATACATTATTATTATTATTAGTAGTAGTAGCAGGACTGAATCTTACAATTTCCCTCACATCAGCAGTCAAGAAACCCTAAAGGCGAACGTCTGACCTTGGGCGTCATGTTGTTGGTGATGCAGAAGGCCAGGTGCTGCTGGATGCTCTCCATGCTGTGGCAGTGCTGCTGCTTGGTGGTCCTCAGGTACTTCTGCAGGGCGCGAGCCATGGACGGGAAGATGGCCTGTGCTGCCTCTCGCGGGTCCATCACATCGCCTGGAGCTTTCTTCTGCTCCTCCTCCTGCATGCGCTTGATATGTGTGAACGCCTCCTCTACTGCCACCACCAGTCTGGGGGGGAAAACACAGCAAACAAAGCTTAGTGTTTAATTATAGACTGATACAGTTGTTTCTGATACCTTTAGGGAGAAATTCTTCTTAGTTCTGCTCACAACAGCCACTGTGGCCCAACCAAGAATTACCAGACATTTGACATACAACATCCTGTCTGATTTCCTTCATTTGGCTGCTGTTTCTCCCGTCCTCCTGTTGATTTTGTGCCCAAATTACCATAGCAACCCTCCATGCACTAGAATCACCTAGGAGAGTTCACTTTGCTGAGATATACTTACTGAAACTAGTAATAACTGATTTTTGACCACTTTGGGGACAGCAAAGACAGGTTGTAAACACAACACTGACATATTATCACCTTTAAGTTGATATGGTGAACTTATTAATTGACTAACATTCATTAGGAGTCGTGACTCTGGCAACCTAATATTAAAACTCTTACATATCTTATAATATCTGGCTCTCCACCATGTTTACCAGCTAGTTGCTAACTTTGTCTGCTGTTCGGTGCTGAGCAGGTAGCACACAGTGGGTTTTTTTTAGCTTTTTTGATTGCAAACAGCGGCTTTGTGTCGGTAAATGACATTATGAGAGTGGTGATAGTGAACCAAGACAGTAAAGGCCCTTACATCAAAACAATGAGCTTAAAGATGCTAAAACGAGGGGAACGGCAGAGTCTGGTGATAATTAGTTATTATGGGTTAATGCTTAATGGTCCCAGTCCAGTCAAACCAGAAAACACTGCAATGTTGGACTCCATAGATGCTTAAAACTAAGAGTTATTGCATGAATTACCGTGCTTTGCGTTTGCGAACACGCCTCTCGTGCTCGGCCTCCTCGTAGTACAGCTCGTTGTGGCTGGTGTCTCTGCGGCGGGCCGCGGCTGCGATCATGGCTCTGGACTGGGAGTGGGCCAGTCCTGCTGCCGCGTTGTTCCCCGGACCTATCACGACAAATACATAAAGACAGGAATGGTTACTGTATGTGTGCGTGTCTCGCTTAATCTCACAGGTAAAATTCCAGTCGCAGCCTGAGAAACGAAGGTAAAGGAACAAAGAAATCTTTGGTGACGACATAAAGTGCAACGTGCTTTTAGAGTGGAGGGGAAGATTATTAATGCACATAAACCTCGGTCCATTTCCTTTTATCACCAGCAACAGTAACCCCAGGAGCTGACGTGGTAAGCCACACAAAGTCGTAATTTTTAATTGTTCCGAGCACTGTGATCATTGGAAAACACACCGCTCATCCACATACAGCTATTGGTATTCAAACATTCCCTTTACTCTGAAACTCTGTGCCTTCAGGAGACACGGGTGTCCAATTAAACTGTCTCGGGCAACTTCAAAAGTTTACATTTTTGGAATTAGGCTATGAGGCGGCTGATGAACCCTGCCTGATGTTAATGCAGGTTAAAAGAAGGCAGAGCTGGTGAATTATTAATGCGGGGCAGGGATCGAGCATGAACAGAATAATTCATGGACGGAGAATAGGGAGTTTTCACACACCCGTATTATTGCACTTAAATAGGATTTATGGCCGGGAATGTTATACTGAATGCCATGTTGGATGTCAGGAGTAAGTAAACTGAGAATTTTGTATGGAAGAATTAAACAGCCTAAATAAAAAGAAATCAAACAAAAAAATAAAGTGATGCAATCAGAGTAGCCAAAATCAAAAAATCAAAACAAAGTCTATGTCACAAAATAAATACAAAGAGTATCCTTAAACTTTGATAAATCCAACATTATCAATCTTTAATCTTACTGAAAATGTCCTATCAGATTACTTATTTAGGCTAATAAGGAGATAATAATATGACATTTCATCATTAATTTCCTATTAAATACATTTTAACCTGATGAAGGTCATCTGTGCACAAATAAAAGTAGTTTTTTTGTGTCGTGTGCATAATTTGCTCCCTGCTTTTCTGCCTTTGTTTGATTTGTTTTTAATTTAGGCATTTTAAATCTCCCATATGCTGGAGGACTTCTTTACAGAAAACACATTTTATCCACTGGGATTCATTTCCAATTCCCAATATCTGGAGCTGAGAAACCAATATGTAGACCAAATAGCTTATCAGGCATCATAAAATCACCTGAGCCCATTTCGATGCCGTGTAATTGAGTGTTACGGCCGCTTTGCGCTCAGGGCTTCACCACTCTTTAATCAAGGAAATATTATTGTCTGTCCCTGAGTTCGACTTGTTTAATACAACGTCGCCGGGCCGCAGGAAGAAAAGAAAGAGCTGGAAGTAAAGGCTCCAGACAACAGAGACAGAGAGACAGAGAGGTCCCTGAGCAGCTGCCGCAGGATGAAAATGAAGGAGGATGAGACACGAGAGAGAAATGACAAGACCTGCAGCGTAATAGCTATTGATTTATCAGCCATCTCCACAACTGTCTCCCACCAACGTTTGAGAGCAGGCAGAAAAAAAGAGGGAGACAAATGGAAGCAGCGAAACACAAAAAAAAGCAAAGAGGGAGTCAAGTTAGTGCACTTGAGTGAAGCTTGAGTACACTTAAGGGAGAGCGGTCATTTAATGGAGGGTTTGTGTTACATTCAGCCAGCTGTTGTAAGGACAACTGAACTTCTTCATCAACCTGTGGCATGCAAAGTGTGAAGAGTGGGGAAGAGTGAGTGTTAGCTAGCTTCGAGGGAGATTTAAGGATAGCTTTTTTTACAGCGTGAATGGCAGCAGTCTGTGAGGGTGCGTTACTTAGTAGCAGCGTTGCCTTTACTTACTGTCCAAAAGGTAGGCTTTCAGTTTAGCTCTAAAGGCGTCTTAAAAGGTTAGCGTCAGTGTAAAGAGACACATAAGGAGAGGAGAAAGTCAACATTTTAGCTGAGAAGCTGCTCAAATCTCATTCCCACCTGCTCAAAGGCTACCAGAGGGCGCACTGAGGCACATATCAAATAACCCACACTTGTATTTTTGCATGTTGTAGCCCATTAACTACAAATCAGCTACGCTTTATATTGCTGTCGACAATTTTCCAATTATGATAAGTTTGCAGATCGATTTCCTTCCTTCCAGGCAGCCATTTGCTTCAGCACATTCCAGTACTGTATGGAAATCAACCTGCAGAGACTTGAAATGTTCTTCAGATGGTTAATCTGTCACAGGGAGCAGCTGAGAGAAGTTCCTGCTCCTGCGGTGGTAGAGGTAAAACTATCATTCAATTAACTAGTTAGACAGTTAACAAAAATGTATAGCCAATTATTTTCATAATCAAAGAATTTGAGCATTTTTTTAAAACTAAAATGCCCAAAATTGACTGGTTCCAGCTTCTTAAATTAACTTTTTTGATAATCTGTTGGTTTTGTTCTGTTGGTCAAATAAAACAAGAAATTTGAATGCATCACCTTGGGCTCTGCGAAATGATAATGCCCATTCTTCACTATCTTTTAGACATTTTATAGACAATACAACCAAACACTTGAGAAAATACTCAGCAGATTACTATTATTGATAATTAAAACACTTTAGTAGTTAGTTGCAGCAATAATACTCTACATCAAGTAACACATTATTTAAAAATGACATCTTCTGTGTTAAAATGAATACACAGAGTTAAAATCATAGTCATATATGCCATGACAGAATGAGCATTAGAAATTAAAAGCAGACCTTCACCACACCAGAACACACAAATAAACTAAAGCACTGACAACATAAAATTCAAAGACCATCCCACTCACCCTCAGCGGGGCCTGCTGGGAACTCACCATCCACGTTGTAGACCTTGAGGCCGGCCAGGTGTTTGGCTGCGCGGGACTTGGAGGCGGAAAGCAGCGCCGGGTTATGGACTGGGAAGTCACAGTAGTAGTGCTCTAAGATGGCCAGAGCTGCCCGCTGAATGCTGGAGAGGGAGGAGAATAAGAAAATAAGCTTTAGCCGACAGAAACGTTTCAGGTAAAATCCAGGTAGCTCTGTGAGAGGCTGAGCTCGTAAAATGGAGAGAAGAACATGAGAAACATTAGCCACAGGAAGGTTTTCACTTGTAATACCCAAAAACTTGGAAATCCCTGCAGCGATTCTCCAACTCTTCTTGCTGAATACAGAAGAACAGGAAAGAAAACAGCAGAGGGCAGAAACAGAAAGAAATATTAGCCCCTTCGCTCGCTATAATCCAAGTGTGGTGGTAGGGAGTTGGAGGGGGGTGTTGGGAGTTTGGACAAGGGAAATATTTTCAAAAGAGAAACTGTAAAAAGAGAGTGGGGGAGGGACAGATACTGACACTGACGGAGGAAGAGAGAACTAAAAGATCTAACAGTAATACTTCAATTAAAGCCTTAGTGGGAAACTCCCTCAACGCTGTGACACCAAAATCCAACTGAACACAGAATTAACACATCACGTCATTTTTCACACAGCCAGAAGATAATGTATTAAATAGAGAAAGAAACAGGTACAGCCACATTACTTCCATGGGAACAGGAAGGGAAGAAAAAGATTGGGGGAAATAGAAAAGTGATACTGAGAGCAACATGATCAACAATTCCCTGGACGCTTCATTAATTCAACTCAGATTTAATTCTGATTGTTAACAGCAAATCAGCATTCAGTATTTCCTTTCTTGGCCCTTTTAATGTGAGTTTTATGTGTATGATGAATATAAACCAACACAGACTGAAAGCTGTGAAAGTAGTTAAAAATTAAATTAAAAAAAAATTAAGATTTTTAAAAGTTAAGAATTAAAATACAAATCATATGTAGGTTTATGACAGAAAAGATTGGACTCCTCGCAGTATTTTACTGTCTGAGCTGCACTGTGTTGGCTGCCATAGTTGCCACATTCAGACAACCAAGACAGAGGAAGTGATGTCTGAGGTGATAGATAGATATACTTTATTGATCCAAGCTGGGAAATTGCAGTGTAGCAGCAGCATTACACACAGTAACAACAGTAACAACACAATAAGTAAGGAGAACAACCTAGACATATATAAAATGCAATATAAAAAATAAAGTATAAAATGTATAAATAAGCTGTATAATTGTAGTGCAAGTAAAAATATAAGGTGCGACTGTATTATTATGACCAGAGTTTTAGCTGTTAATTGTACAAGTGTGATGGCATGTGGCAGAAAGATTTCCTGTATCCTGTCCTCTCGAGGTTGAGGTGAAGGAGAGAGAGGAGAGAGTCAGAGACTGATGTGTGCTCCTGAGCAGCCGCTATAGACCAGATCCTGATCCTTTACACTGTGGATCAGAGAGCATGCCGGGTCTTGTCCTACATAACACAACACTATTAAACCAACTGCACACAAGTAGGGTGTTTTCACATGTTATGAGACATAAATCATCGGCTCTTTTATAATATACTGCCTCTGTTTTCCTGGAAGTGAGCAATATTAGAGGTTTCTACAGAAACCCAGAACGGACAAATTAAAAACACTTTTACAGTTTCACCATAGTTTCTCCTACAGAAGGCTGAGCTTTCAGATGAAAGCTGCTCTAATCATTACATTAACCATGAATCAACTGACTATGTACAAACCCACAGAGAATCATCATCCCAATGCAGTTTCTCTCAGCTTATCTAACTCTTTTGTCTTTTAATTAATTGTGTTGGTTTCACGTCACTGCGCCTTTACTGTTCTGCTTCACTCTCACTGCTCTCATCATTGCTGTTTCCAGATGCAACAAGCAGCTGTTTTTAAAAAAAGCTTTGATAAAGCCATTGTACACTTCCTGCCAAGCAGCAGACAGCTGGCAGCAAGCTAGTGAACATAGCACAGACCAAACAGAGTAAAAGAAGAGTGGATATAGGACTTCCATTCACCTGGTGGACACTACAACAACTCCATATAACGGCTAATGTTGCTCTGTCTCCACAAGATTGAATGATTCAATCAAATTCAAAGTAATAATAAAAGCAGTGAATGCAGGTTTAAATATTAAACTAGCAGACTGTTTATAAAGCAATAATTCACAGTATGTAGCATTCACTGGGATTTAGTAGCTGTTACAGCTCAGTTTGGCTGACAGGAGGACAACAGATGCTAACAGCTGTTAACTGACCCACAACACGACTTTCCTGCGTAACACTGTGTGTGTTTGTGTGGCTGTAACCATAGTTCTGTGAGCCTTCACTTTGTCCCATGTCATTCTTTACACCACGTGGAGTGCTAACTCAATATACATGAACAACAACACATGCTAGGTAGCAGCATGCGCTTCCTATTATCCCAGAGGAGGATCACATTATGACCTCTGACCCACGGATCAGATATATTCTGACCTCCTGTGACTTCCATTCCTTCCTCAGAACAAAGCATACATTAAGTGATGAAATACCACGGATGGATTGAAACCACCCAGGCATCCAGTCAGTAATAAAACGTCACTCATTCTCATTGCTTTGCCATCTGGTGACAGTCACATGTACAAGAGCTGACAGTAACATCATGACAGGCTAACAGAGTTACAAGACAGATGTTTAGATTGATTTACAGACTAAAAATACACGACTTGTGAAAGGAAGATAGGGGCTCTCTATTCCTGTTGGAAAATGGTGAAAACAAGGATGCAATGCCTCCAAAAAATACAAAACTAAATCACTATTTCTGAGAGGAAATATTTAGATTTTCTTCAAATCTTTACAAGATTTACAAAATCCACATTTTCAATCTGTCATGTCACAATATACTGTGTATGTTTCTCAAAATGTACATTTCCGGCCTTTTGTACACATATTACAAGCCTACAAAGAGTACATATTCCTGTAGCCTAGAAAAGGTACACACTGTGGGTGTGTGGACCTTGATGATGGTGGTTTTCTCCAACAGCTTTTACTGAATTAAGTGGATACCTGATGGTTTTACACATTTAGACACTTTATCCAATTTGCAAACAAGCTTAATACTAATCATTTTCAGTGTTATTATATATGATTCATGCAATTTTGTTGGTTTATTAGCCAGTTTAATAATATAAGAGGCAACAAACACAGTGCAGCATTTTATTGTTGTATAAAAAGTGATTAGAGAAGAGGACCCGCTCCTTCTGTAGATAAAAACAGCTCATTCTAAGGTAACGAAAACAGAACAATTCACAGAAACAACACAACCTTTAAGTCATGAATATTTACTAATTTATTACAGAGAAATACTTAAGATTTGACACCAAGTTTCAGGGGCTTTTAGAGATGGCGACTGTGCATACTGTCCTTTAAAGCAAGTACATAAATATCTGTTTGAGACATGATGACATAAGTACCGCTGCTTTCAGATTTTCACCTAACAGAGAGCTTGTGGTTAAAACATTGTCAGTCACGTCACTTCAAACATAAGAAGAACTGGGAACTGGGAATAAGAAGCAGCGTGTGGTTACGTTCTCTTGTTTTCAGTGTTGCCCAGCACCTGTGAAGTATTTATGGATATGTCTTGGAAACAAATACAAAGAGAAAGCTTTGTGTTTAGGGGGGAAAGAATGTCAGAGAAATAATATGATGAAATTATGAAGAAATGTCAACGGATATTTCACAATTAGAGTAATTGTACAGATTGCTCCCAGGGCCTTTAAGTCTGCCAGAAGTAAAGCAACTGAGATGATTTCAGCACTAGTGCGTCACTCATAAAACACTGTAGGAAAACAAACACATCATAGGCTGTTGAAGACCGGAGGCAGCGCTCATTTCCGCCAAAGGGGAAGCGAGGACTGTGATAGCAACTCCCTCTGTTAACTCAAGAAACCCCGACAGTCCTCTCTGACCAGGAGCCTTCAGAGCCGATACAGACAGGACCATTGTTCAGTGGCCACTTGCGTAAGTGCTGAGTCAGAGTTCCTGCCGCTTCCCAACTCTGATCAATTATTAAGCCGAGCAAACATGACACAAAATCATTCAAACCAAGCGGCTCGACAAGAACAACTGATGCTAGTGAGGTAGCTGACCGCTGCCTTTACTGATGTCGCTGCTCAGGACTGACCAGTCAGGGAATGTAAACTGGGAAGTCTCCAGCTGTGAATGTGTTTAACCCCCACCCTGCTGAAACAACTCTCTGTGGCTGTAAGGAATGCATTCATATTGAGCTTGTCTGCTCTGACAAGGGGACAAAAAAAAAGGGCTTCCGCTGGCCCCTCAGATTGGCATCAAAGGCCCTGGCAGACAGAGACAAGCCTTCAGGGCCCCGGGGCCCAGGCTGTGATAAGGCAAAAGATGGATGCCAGAAACACAGGAATGTGAGCAGCAAGCCGCCGCCTGGTCAGATACAAGAGAGATTTGTTTGTGGCTACATGTGCATGAACGTGTCATTTGCATGTATATGATGCAATTACCCATGCACACACGCACGTGTCCATATTTGTGCGTGTCCATGCATGTGTGTCAGGCTGACCAGATGCTGCGCTCCAGTCTGCAGGGAGCACTAATTAGCTGTGTGTTTACAGTCACAGACGGACAACAGAGCAAGGCCAGGCCTGCTGCCGGCCAAGCAGGGATGAATGGCACAGCTTACAAAGGACAACACCCCCAAGGCAGCCAGCTAACACACCAACCAGACAATTACACACACACACATACGTCTGACCTGTTTCTAACAATACAGAATCAATATGAAAATAAACCCACTTTCCAGCCTGTTAAGAGTTCAAGTTTACAGGATGTTTTTATACATTTGATTCCTATAAATGACTTATTATATCTCACTGCCAACAATATCCCAAAGAGAACAATGCTGGAGCTGCTAGATGACCTCTAACACTAGTACTCTTGATAATTCAAAATCTAGTAAAACTGCCTTTTGTCAAGAAGTACTTCCAAATGTTGGGCGTAGAAAATTATTCCACTTCTCAAACTAAATAATTCCATGGGGTGATCTGAAAAATGCATCGCCAGAAAGCTGAAAACAGAGCTGCTTTTCTTATCTTGTGGAAGGTTTTACAGATACACTCTCACTTCTTTTAAAAGCAGTAATGAGGATCTTACTGTAGCCATTCAGTGTGTGTGCAAGTCTGCTAGTGTTGTATGCTGAGTTTGCCCTGTCTATGAAGTGTGCTATGTATATATATATATATATATATATATATAAAGGCGCCTTCCCACGACTTCTTAGACTGATTTCCTTCCATTCAGGAACAATGAAAAGTTATCTTTGTACATTTTCATACAGGCGTTAGCTGCATGGGAGAAAATAAAAAATAGCTTCCTGCACACGCTACACTTGTTGTCAATTAGACAAAAAAACTAGACTAGCATGTGTCTTCTCTGTTTCCTGTGCTATATAATTTCAGTGAGACACACTATTGACGTTTTATAGCAAATGGTTACACAGTTAGACGTGGTGGAAGAGGCTCTGCCCTTTGGGGAGCTCTCTAAGTATCCTGTATCCTCAGATCCTGCTGGGAGAGCTAATCCCTCTTAATGAACACATAAAGGAACATTAAATCTTAGTAAAATCAATAAGACCAAGAATTTAGCACACAAGGAGGGGGCTGGGGTGGTGGAGGGAGAAGAAGCAGTAAACAGATTAAGCACGAGTGAATCAACAGGGAAGTGTCAAGTTATTATGACTGATGACAGCAAGCCAAGCCTACAGCATATGCTTCATTTCTTACGTAAAGGAGGAGATGTATAAAATACTTTGAATGATGCCAGGTAGAGTTATATTGATTGATCTGCCATAATTTAATGATATATATGGGCTAATTTCGGTATATGGAAGATATATTGGTAGCTGTGTCTATGTCGGCTGATAATTAACTATACATTGCAGTACAGAAATGTTAAAAAGGTAATTTAGAAACAGTTTCACCACTACAGAGTTTGCCCACCAGAGAGCACTGACTAGTTTACAACATTTACAATAAATTACTTACAATAAAATGTCCCATTCAGTATATATGTTGGTCACAATGAAAAGGGTTAAATTTATGTGTTTATGTTCGAAATCAACTGATACTATCATTGTATTGGTCAGGCTGTAATGCCAGGGGATCAGTTTGGTGCAAATGGTTTCATTATGGTTTTAGAGTTAAGATTAAAACTGCAGCCATCAACCACAATATATCAAACATACACAATTATACATTTAAAATGTGTTACAGTTGAACAACATACACAAAGACTGACAATGCTGCTTCATTTAGTTTCTTTTACACTGGTAATATTACATACCTCCTGCTCTTTATACTGTATACAACATAGCTAAACTCATCCCACTCTATACTACTCAGTGGTTCTGTCCATATTATCACAGTTACATCCATTTTCACAATCACTACTCCACTGGTTTATTGTCCATTCTGTACAGTCATTTATCTTTATGTATTTCTATATGCACTTTGCTGGTTAAACGCTGAACTGCATTTCATTGCAGTGGTATTTACTGTGTGCAATGACAATTAAGTTGCTTCTAATTTAATCTATAATGACATTCGGACACTGGGAAATTCAGTTCAGAGAATTTTCCACGTTGGCTTTAAGTGCTGAATCCTGACATGCTCTTAAACACTGAGTGCACGGCACGTTAAGCATGAAACAGCCCACCTGCAAAACTACAGAAAGATATAAAGCAAAGTATGTAAGGGCAGATATAGGATAATATTTCATCCATAAATCCATCATGTTTTATTAGTCGCCCGTAAGCAAGAGTGTATGTGAGACTGGAGGCTGCGTATTGATACCAGGGAGCAGCAGGAGAGCTGCTGTGTTTGGCTAAAAATGGGATCTTCCTGTTTTCCTCAGAGATAGTAAGGTCATAAAACCTGGTTGGTCTAGTCTGAGCTGTTCTTTCCTACACACACACACACACACACACACACACACACCTCCCCTTTCTTTCATTCCCACATACATTTTAGGATTCTTCAACACTACCCTCCCATTAACTATTAATCCCTCGTTCTCTATTCTCTCTTTCACTCCCTCCGTAGTGTTCTCCCTGCCTCAGTCTCCTGGGTCTTCCCTCTGTACTCCACCCTCCGTCTGCAGCTCTTTTCTGTGGAGTTTCCTCTCTGAAGTCTTCCCCACCCTTTTCTTTTTTCTCCTGGCACGATTTCCCCTCCCTATCAGCCACTTTGTCTACGCAGCTTCTCGTCTCTGCGTTTTCTTCCATCTCTGGCTCAACATTCAACCCTCCCTTTCTACTTGATCGTCACTCCTTCCCTTCAGGCACGTCCCTCAGTTTCTTGACTTTTCCAGAGTCTTTCTTTTATGAATTCCTTCCTTCTATTTCTGAGTATGTAGCCAGTGACTTCCTTTTCCCACCTCTTTCACTCAAGGTGTCCCAGTTTCTAGCTTTCCCTCTGCCTTCATCTCGCCCACACTTCCTCTCTTTTCCCTTCCCTGTCATCACACCATGTGTATCCCCCTGGTCGCTCACGTCAACCTAGCTCTTTTTACCTTCTGTCTTGTCCCTTCCTCTTACCCCTCCTCTCTCCCTCTTCAAGATCTACAAGCACAGAGGTCATCTGGGTATTTGCTGCTATCTTGCTCTTAATGCCAGCAGCATCCATTAATGTCCCTACAGTCATCGGAAACTGGAAAATATGTAAGATCTGTATGAGAGCAGAGAATGTCCCCCATGCTGATACATCAAGATTTTACACTTTTTGGCCACCTTATTTACTGGTGTCAGCTTTTACTTAGAAGCCATAAATCTTCTCAGAAACTTCACAGTAGCAAGCCTGAACACACAGCTAACACTCGGCTGAGAGAAAGTCAGACTGCCGCCAGACATTGAAGGATAAATCTGTTGTTATTCTATACTCAATTTATTGCCAACAAATTCTGTGAAAAAGACCAAAACCAACAAAAAAGTGTTGTGTGTGTATCAAAAGTCGGATGTATCTCATTCCTCTGTGCCATAGAGTTCCATTGAAAACACATTAACACACAGACACATACTGTAGTTTATGTTGACTCAGTCCCACACACCATCCTGCTGGTGTAAATATTCACTAGAAAACCAAATGTGGATTCATCCGCAGATAAAAGTAGTCCGTAACAATTGCATAATTTCCTCCTGTTTAAGTAATGTCTGATAAAAACTGCACTGAGCCTTTATACATTTTCATGAGGTACAGCTCGGTAAAACCATTGCAGTCTAATACAACAGTCCTGCAATAAATCTTACTTTCATAAAGGTTATAATGTTCGGTTTTTGTTGAATATGATCAGCTGCTGTTGTATTACACTGCATTATACTCAAAGGTGTGTTATTTACTCTATCCTCATTGATATGAATATGTTGGACATAATATAGTAAAATATGTTGCAGTCCACATTCCTTACATTATGTACTGTGAATGCTGTGTTTCTACAGGCATCATTGTGATGAAAGACTAAATAATTCCTCCTGTGATAACCTTCCAGAGTTGTAAAATCCCGTCTCTCAGTAATATAAACTTGTTTCTAGTGTCTGATAAGCCTCCAAACTCATGGATATGTAACCCAGATTACTGGATACCAACAACAACATGAACCTGAACAGGCTGATTTCTGTCTGAACAGTAAATCCATAACAGGGTCAACCATTAACACAGGCAATTGAACACGTCTGCCATTGTGTTTTCAGAAGATTTTCGAACAAACATAAATCAAACTTAAGGAAAGAAAACACATATAAAATGAAGCTAGTCGCTCTGTGCTTCTCACCTGAGCTGTCCCAGGTTGTAGTGCCTCATCTCGCCATCCGTGGAGCGCGTGACGCACACAGAGAAGCACGGCTGGAGCTGCCGGAGCTCCAGCAGGACGATGGCCAGGTAGTGGATAAAGAGCAGGGCGTCCACCAGCGACACGGCGTACTGCACAATGCCCTGGTAGTTCTCATCCTGTGGACGATGAAGGGGTCATTTGTACCTCTGAATGGAATATTTTGAATATATACACCATACATGCAAATGCAGTAAACATGTCAAAACAAACACTTCTCCTGCAGGGGTAAAAAAAGTAGATCATACACATGTAAGACAAGATGCAGAACATATGAATATTTAGATACATTTCAAAGGATTGCGAGCTTTTTAGACCCCTGATTTCTGTGTGTATGCGAGTGTTTTCCTACAAGCGCTCTGAATGAGGGGCCAACAGGGATTATAAATTATGACTCACACAGTAAACACATAACACTGGGGAAACCAATATCTGTGTTTTGGTTGTCTGTGATTTTGTTGAGTTCCTGCGGGCATTAAAAATGAATGTGTCTGCAATATATGAGACCTCTCCCACTACTATTGGAAATACTGCTCTGTGTGTATATTTTTAGTTTTTAGTGTGTGCACACAACCAATGATAGCTACTATATTTCCTGTCTGGATTCCCTTCTCTTAACCTTCTTCCCTCACCTGTGAGTCGAGTATTCTGACTCCATAGAACAGCCAATAGGAGACCACGAAGAGCAGCACCAGCACGGCGAGCAGCGCCCGGAATACGAAGACCCGCGGGAGGCCGGCCCGCGGCGGCCTGAAGAAGAGCGCCCAGACTGCCAGCAGCAATATGAGCAATTTGAAGGCCACGGAGATGAAGAGGCCCTCGCAGGCCGTGCCGCAGCTCTGCAGCTTCTCCGGCCAGAGGAGGTGGGGGAGCACCAGGAAGGCCAGCGGCGTCAGGAACACGAGCAGGCCCAGGATCACGGCCAAGGTCAAGGTGAAGTAACGGCGGCAGTCGAGCCCCACGCTGTCCTCCAAGTCCTTGGTGATGCGAACGATGTCCTCCTGAGAGAGGCTGTGCTCTGATGTGCCTGTGACGGCCGTAGTGGTCTCGCCCCAGTTGTCATCCTGGAAATATAAAGGAAATAAAAAAGGATGTAAAATAATAACAAGTAGATCTCAAACATGTGAGAAAAGAAATATTTTCTATTCATTATATGTAATATCTCCTTTCATACCCTCTATGATGGATAATATTATATTCAGTCGGTTTTCTATTAGCCACATTTTATTATAGGCCTTATTTCCATTCTGAATTGTAAAGACTCTTATGCTTCAGGTGTATATAAATATATAATTTCTGTAAATTATTTAGGCTACTATATTATTTCTACAAATTGTCAGACATTTATCATAACCTGGATTAGCATATAATGAATTTCCATACCATATATTAATAAATATAGGTGCACATTATTAAGAGTGTTACTGCTGGTAAAAATGGCTTATTGGCATTCAAGTCCATTTATAAACTGTCCCAATGTGTCTGTGCACAGTAAATACAGAATATAGTTTTTAAGGATGGGGAAGAATTCATGTCAAAAGAAAAAATGGTGCTGACTTTGGTAGCTGTACGCTTGTATTATCATTATTTAGACATTACATCACATTATCTGAGCAAATCCAATCTCCAAGGCATCAGACGACACGACAGAGATGTTATAGCCTACAGACTGCTGATTCGTCATAAGAAACTGATGATACTTCAGATGATGCCTGAGAGGAAAGATGTCTCATTTTACTGGAAAGGTCTGTATATATCCTCTTGTGGAAGGGAGTTAAGCAGAGAGGAAAAGACACAAGTGAGGGATGTATTTAAGGAACTGAGATGCACCCAATGACTTCAGCAAGTCTAGAAAATACAGAATAACAACACCACAACAATAGAGCGGGGTTTGGGCAAATATAGCTTCTTTGCTCAGGGGGAAATTGTGAGAGAGGGCATCAGGGGATTGAAAATATTAGGAGAGAAAGCTTTTGTCTGAGCTGTGCGCCTGGAATACTGGTGGGCATCTCACTGCGCTGTAAAACACTCCTATAGCCGCGGCTCCTGCACTTAACACACAGCAGCTCAACAAAGGCGAGGGAGGTTATTTCCAAGCACGTGAGAAAGACAGGCACAGAAGATAGGAAGTGGAAAAAGTAAACAGAGCGAGCTGCCAACTGGGCTACCAACGCTGACGTCTGGTTCTGACTGCATCCGCAGATAATGAAGGTCAGCGGTGTCGGAACAGAGCCGTCAGAACAAGAAAGATAAGCACTCTTTACACGGCAGTCATAACAAGCTGCTAACGGGAGCGGCTGAGTGTTGCCCCTGCCAGCGAAAAAAAAGGACAGATAATGAACTGCCATCAGCTCCGAGAACACTCACCAACAGCTTTCACCCAAAGATACTGTTAGCAAGATGAAATACCACTGCAGATGAAACCTATTTTAAGGGTTGTTTCAGTGGTATTAGCCCCACACAAGCAGAGAGGGGATTGTGGAGGAGATGCATTATGATCACTTTAGACTGAGGGGGTTGGGAGGAGGATGGGGAGGGGGGTGGTGCATTGGGACAGAGACTATCCCACTGGCCTCAGG